CACTCCATGAACCGATCCAAAGATTATTACCATTTAAAATACCAGCTGGTACTTTGCCCATTGCATCCAATACTGCAACACTTATGCTTTAGTTTAAATATGAAAAAAATTTTAACGTACTACAGGTAACCTATTTAGCTTATATTTCATTTATTTTAAAAATTATGAAGTAAGCAATTATTTACGTACCATTAAAAATCCACTGGTAACTTTCATGCTCCCGAAGTTCGCTTTTACAGCTACAATTAGTACAGTGATTTCCTTTTTCCACGAAACGAGCATATTCAACTGCAGTCCACAAGTAATGAGCAATATCAGCAATACAAAATGATGAAACGTCATATTCCTATAAAATGTAAAGATTCTTTTGCAAATTTCTGCTACAAATCAAAAAGTATTATGATAGCAGTTTGAAGCATAATTATTAAAATTTGATAAGTGCCTTTAAAGGTTGCAACATAGTTAGCAACCGTTGTATGGACTGTTCATCTCCAGTTTTCAATGCCTTCTCAAATTTGCTTGTTGGGCGCAGAAATAAACTCTTCAGAAAATCCAAATCAATGATCAATTGCCATTGTGAATCAGCAAAAAATTCAGTAACAAATGAACCAAGCACATCATTTGAATCTTTCTTATTTGCTAACCATACTTCTTCTTCTAAGAAATCATCACAAACAGCAAATTTAGACGATAATAGTATGAAAGACAATAATAGTAACTGTCTCAAACTTTGCATAAGTTATTTTTCAAATTACCGTAAATTTTTACAGTACAAAAAGTACATCAGATGTACCAGTCATAAATAAATATTGTATGCTGAAAAAGTGATCATTCATTGAATCAAATGTGACAGCAAATTTTTCAAACTACTTGTCACGACACAATATCAATGAAATTGTAATTTCCTCTCACTTATCAGTCTCTTTGCATTTTTATCAGTTTGTTGGCACGCAAAAAAAAGCTCTTATATGAATCATTTGGTTATTTATCGAAAATGAGAATAAATCAATGACTAACTTTGCAATTTCCACTTTCTTCTTCTTTGAAAATTAATGTATGAATTTGAGTGTGTGTGTGTGTGTGTGTATGTATGTATGTATGTGTGTGTGTGTATGCGTGTGTGTGTGTGTGTGCGTGGTGTATTTACCCTGTGAAATGAGAGCAACAGTTGAAAGCAGAGGGTAAAAGAACATATGTTGTTAAAACACTTTATACTTTCTCTTCTTTAACAATTTATCATGAATTTAGGTAGCCAACTTGTGAATATTGTTAACAAGTGATCATTAACCATTTAACTGACCTATTACCTTATACTGTCTTGATTTCTTAAGATATTTTCAAAACTACGACTTCTAGAGCTTAGAACAATGATTTCAAGACTTTAAATATGACATCAAACTTCTTTAGCTTTTAGCTGAATTATTTATAGGCTTGAATAAATTAGTAAACATTTAAAACAGTAATTACTGTCTTCAATTATTACTATAATGGCATTCACTTTTCATACTTGCAACTGTCATTTCTTCTATATTTCATCTCTAATTTTGAATTTCAGTTTACACATTTTTGCCATCCAATAATAAATGTATAATAAGAGACAGAAATATCATTGCAGTGTTATTTCGAACCTGAAATGGCATGAGCAATCACATGTCACATAACATGTGAAAATTACTGAATTTAATCATAAGCGTTAACCTAGACAAGGTGATGGATTGCCGGCAATATCCCTGAAAGTAATCTTACATAGTGTGAAGAATCATTTTGTTTTTGTGTACAGATCATTTTTCATTAAGTAATATTTGATTCATGCTAAATTAGTTTTGGAAAGGCTCGTAAATAGTAAGAAGTCGAACTTCGGAGAAAAAGCATGAAAAACTACATGAATTCCCTCGAAAATACTGCTCATAAAAATTGATTAAAAAACCAAAAAGACCTTTAAAACACACAACCATGATCATAAAAACAAAAGGTCACGACTGCTCACAATGACGAGAACCATTCCCATGTCAATTTTTGAGAGCAAACAGTCCAAGTACTCTGCGAAATCTGGAAATCGTCTCGACCTAAACCCAGATCTGATTTGTGGAAGACTCATCCATGTAGTGATTGTTTGTAGTACAACAAATTATTTGGCTCAAAAATATATCGCAAGGAAGAGAGCCCTAATTTCAAAAGATCCAGCAAACAAATCGATTGGACTACAATTTGTAAGTTTCCTGCAGTGCGTTGGAGCACAGAGGGAACCACAAAATAAATATACCATTAAATTTATTGTAAGACCCTGTTGTCAATTATTATGGATCTCGAATGCCATTAAGAATAGTGCAAATAATTTTTACTGATAATTAAGAAATACACAATTTCCAAGCAGAATATCAAAAGACAACAGTCGCATAAAGGATTGCTAATGTCATAAATAAAAGAGGTTCCTGTCTCAAATTTCACGAAAAACTGGCTGTAAAGGTTATATCAATAATTCGATATAGTAATTCAATAGCTTAAATTGAGATGCGGCAAGAAAATTTGGGTTGAAGAATATGCGAAATGATCATTACTCTCGAAATCAGATTCTGATGGATTGATAGTAAATTAGGTGGATGATAGTTCACAACATGAATGATTAACGGGATCGGTTGCATTTGCAAACAAGAACCGGTAAAAGTAATCAACAATTGAAGAGTTTTACAATTATTCGGATACAGGAGTGGATGAAGGAGGAGGTGGTGGCAAAGAAGGATGTATGACTGGAGGTGGTGGAGGAAGCATGATCCGAACCGAAGGTGGCGGCGGTGGAGGAAAAGTTGCACGATTTTGCTGCATTGGAGGGAAAGGTGGAGGTATGCGAACAAAATTGCGTGAAGGAGGTGGTGGAGGAGGAGGAGTAGGAGTCGGCGTGGCAGGCGGCCGTATTCCTGGTGTTATTGGTGGCGGTGGTGGCATCCCCCATATCGACAGCGGAGCTGGAAATATGACTGTAAATAATGAGTTTGTTGATAACTATTTTGATTTTCTGAGCAACTTTTCCAATTTTAACGTTCAAAAAGCTGTCTAGAGCTCAAACCAGTAAACAAAATATAGTTTAATTTCATGCAAACTATATATATGGTATGAAGTGAAAATAAAGATAAATTCACCACTCATAGGAGGAGGAGGTCTAGGAGTACCCATTGGTGTAGGTGGAGCTGGAGGTGGAGGCGGAGGCGGAATTGGTGTTGCACCTGGTGTAGGCATTGGGGGAGGTGGTGGTGGGAAGATTGCTGGTGGTGGTCCTGACATTGGCGGCAACATCGGTGGTGGTAATGGTGGACCTGGTGGTGGTGGATGAAGTGGCGGTACAAACGGCAGTTTGCCATCCGAAAAGATTTGATTCGGCTTGTCTGAAGGAAATAGAGGATTCTGAGCAGCTAGCATTCGTTCTGCAGCAGTACCATGACGTTCACCCTTGAATTTTATTAAAATTTAGAAATGAGATAATTATCAAGCAGTCAAGATTCTTTAATGAACCAGCACTAATCTATTTAGTTGCTTTACTCACAATATAATATACTTACTACAATCGCGGAAAATGATCCATTTACTAAGCCTACTGAAAACTCAAAAAGTGCGATTTTGAATAAAATTTAAAACAACATTTTCACAAAACTCGATAAATTAACAGCAATTCTAAAAAACAAGAAAATGTGAACAGATCAAAGAACCTTTGTATCTTTTTTGAATGCATAGCTAACTGTTATAGCTCGATTACACAGAAATTGACCATTCATTGCTTCAATGGCCGAATCAGATGCTTCAAAAGATGCAAAATTTACAAATGCAAAACCTTTGCTGCTACCAGTTTCAGCATCTCGCATGATTTTAGGAACCTGAAGAAGAATAAAGACGTGAACATGGCACGAAGTTGTAGCAAAATAATAGGAAACATTCACTTCTTTATGAAAAAAATGATCAATAAGGGTTAAATTAAAAAATAATAAGTCAAACTGATATCAGTGGGGAATTACTTGCTATTAATTATGTATGCTAAAATCTAATAATGCAACAACTAATCACGCGGACTTATAATTGACAGTACGTTTATTATTTTTGAAAATATAAATTAATAGTACAATGAACCTGCAAAATAACACCAAAAGCACTGAACGTATCGAAAAGCAATTTTTCATCCACATCAGGATCTAGATTACCAACAAAAACATTGGCCCCAACATCCATATTTTTCTCATGGGCTGATGCTTTATTCACCTTAAATAGGATTCTTGTAGAATGCAAGAACTATATATTTTCAAATCGTTTAAACAGATGGGTAGTGGATTGCTGTGACAAACTTAAATCGTAATTCAGATTTTTCGTGAAACTAATTTCTTTGTGAGCAGCAATCAGGAAATGCGAACTACTGAATTCAGTAACTATCACCATTTGGTCGCAGACTTTTGAAACTGAAATCGTAATCACGATTCAGCTGCAAATTGATTAGAAAATTGAAATATTAAATAACCTTGATCGGTTTTCCATATATTTTGATCATATTCATAATTTTTATCGCATAATCTGCATCTTCTTCGCCCATGAATTCAATAAAACCGAAGCTAAAATCAAAGAAGCTTGAACGAAGATTGTAAAAACTTTGTATACAAGCAAAAATTAGACAGTTTTTAGAAATAAAGATCAACACAGCAGAGTTTCAAAAAGAAAGCACATATACGATTTCATAAAACTAGGATGCCAATTTCTTAACTTTAATTCATTAAAAAACTTCCGAAATAGTACATACTTTTGAATGTGGATTATGTAATCTCACTTAAAACTCAATAAAAAATGATCATGAAATACCCTTGATGCGAGCTCGTGACTCTATCTTTCGGCATATTGACTGAAACAACGGGTCCTGCTTGCACAAACAGCTCCCATAAGATTGCATCCGTCACTTTTTCATCCAAACCACCAACGTAAATAGTTGCATCTACAGAACGAAAAATATAAATAAAAAATAAATCCAAATAGAAAATAACAAGTACTTCATTTTTGCTATGTTATGTGGGAATACTTCTCAACACTATATATTTTAAGGCCCCCAACTTGAACATGAGATAATCTTGGGGCAATTTTTTATTATCAAAAGTGATTTAAAAAGTTCTAAGCAAAAGAATATTTTATACCTACTCGGGTTTTAGGAAAATATAAAAGTGAAAAATAATTGAGAAACCACTTCTCCCTTGAATTACAACAGTCAACTATGTATGTATGGCAATCTTCATAAAATTAAATGACAGTACTATAATCTTCTATATCAATTACTAGTGAGTTCACCTGCCTTGATTTCTTTCTAAAATTGGACCTGCAGACATCTTTAGACAAAAATGCACCAGAAACCAAGAGAACTTGGGGCAGCAACACTTCCTAAAACACTTGTGGGCTCTATATGAATTAAATATATCCTAGTTTTTCTTCCCAAAAATGCTACTTTGCAAGTGCGATCATCTTCATTTGTATTCCATATATGACAATTCCTTTCAAAACTATACACCAGAAGTATGCATAGTAAAACAAAGTTGAAAATACAAGTAAAAGCGGCGAGAGAAGAAAAGTTAAAAGTATGACCAATTTCGAACAGAATCATAAAAAGTGCAGGAAATGCGACGATTTCACGAAAATATTTATTTGTATGATAAACAGGATGATGACAGCTCCAGTAGAAGCTACCACTAGTATATGATACAGCTTACAGTTCACAAAAATTTAAAAATTTATCCATATAAATGTTAGATCCACATTCATCGTATTCCGCTTTCGTCAGAAATCTGAAACCGACAAGTTGGCTAAAACCATTATTTAAACACGAAGTGATCACGAAACCACGAATTTATTTCAAAAAGCTAGTAAACTTCTCTAAAAATATGTTTGACTATTGAATGAATTCCTACACATTAAAAAAATCAAAAACAAACCGATTTTCCCAAGCGCCAAGTCTCACTCCATCTCGTCCACAACACCAAGCATGTATTATTGGATCAACAACTTTTCTGAGTCGTATCTCATACATCTGATCTACTAACGGCCGTAGATCCCTGATACTGAAGTTTAGTCTTATGAATTATATGATAACAAAAGTTGAGTGTTTTAATAATTATAATAAATACTACATAATTACATCATGGTCACCTACGGTTACACTTGCCACAGAATGTTTACCTAGATTTCTTATTTCACGTGACATAAATCAAAACCTGCGCTTACAGCCGCTCTTTAAATCCTGTGAATAAAACGTTTCCACCGCAGAGAACTATATTTTTGAACATTCGACCTCGCATACCTGGAAAAGAAAGAGAAAAAAGATCGTTAACACGAAATTTCAAACACCATTCAATATACCATCCTTGAAATAATAACACTTTTGGGAAATTCAGTGACTGATTAAGAGTTACCATATGGACACCTATTAACAGACACTGCAATGGCTTCCGGTATACCCATCTGAGATATTCCAATATCTGATGGTGTAAACAGCGCTTCAGGCACAGTAAACCTCTCTACATTAACCCTCAGTTTCTGCAGATCATCATAATCATTGTCATCTGGCGAGCAAATGAATCCCCGACTATGATTAATGAAATCTGGAAGGACGTAATCCTGGACGACTGTGTTCTTTTCTCCATGATGCCTAAAAAATATATTTCTTACATTAGAGAACAATTAGTTGAAACAGTGAAAAGTTTTGCATCTAATTGTCTCAAAAGTCAACAAAAAACAAACACGCCTTAATTAGTTCTCTTTTACATTAAATTGACTTAGTCCGAAGTTTATTCTGAAAGTACAAGTTTGAGTCATTATTTTCTAATTAACAGATGATTTTCATAAACAAAACTTCGATAAACGCCCAGTAATGAGAAATATTTCACGCCTATACAGAACTTACTTTGCGATATCCATATATTTATTAAAATCATCAGCAACAAAACAAATATCTTCTTTACATTCATTAATAACATAAGTTTCTTCCATGACATCTAACTGTCTATATGAAATCCATTCTTTCAATAAATTGGTCAGAACCTTGCCTCCAACATCGATTCTTAATAAGAGAGGAAAAAATTACTATACAGATTTGAAACACTAATTTCAGCTTCAGTCAAAAGTTTTGACAAAGTACTGAAACCCACCGCAGTCAAAAAAAAGCTCTTAAAACTAATTTGGCATTAAAAAAATCACCTTATAATTCCTTTTCGTATAGCTTTGTCTTTATAATATGGCACTATATGAGTGAAAGAAAATCCTGTATCAACTATGACACAACACTCTTCCTCTTTATATTCTTCAATCACTGTATCAGACACAGCAATGAGTGATGAAGCTAAATGGAATCAGTTTATTTCAGAGAACCAAAAAATATAAGAAATAAGCGGTCAGTGAATTCAGAATATATAGAAAGTCTAGAAATAATAGACAACAAAAGAAGATAAATTAAGAACAAGAATCTTCCAGTACTGTTTTAAAAACACTGACCACTTGTTTTTGCGACAGCATCGAACCCATACAATTCGAAAAGTATCTCATCCGACACATCATGAATAGCCGGAACGTTATAAATGGTATCGGTTACAATAATACGAGTATCCGAAAATGAAACATTTAAACCATCTTCTCCAAAAACTCTGTTCCATATCTGTTGTTCCACGTCCCAGTTTACTAAAACTTCCGCCAGAATTTCTTTACCCACCATCACCATTCCTTGTCACAATTGAATAAAGTGGAAATCTTTAGTTTTTTAAAGTTCTACAAATAGAAAGCAAACCGATGTATCCTTTTTCTGCGGGAGTGAGAAAAAATATACTTGAATGATCACGGCACTCCTCAATCTCATCTGCTACGTAAACTCTTTTACGATCATTTTTCGTCTTGACAATACAGTTTAAGAAAAACCTTTAATTAAATTAGTGAATCAGATGATCAGAAAAACATCAACAAAAGCTGCATTAAAACCTTGCTGGAATGCCTCATTATCCACAAATAGTGACCAAGGTATCTATGGACAAAAATGTATAGTAAATCACTTCTTATATGCACCACATTTTAATCTAAGCATTTCTCTGGGGACTACCAAATACTACCTTGGATGAGCGTCGGTTACATAACCAGCTTTGATTGCACTACAACCGTTGTCAAATATAAGCGTAGTTGACATGACACTATTTTAACGTGAATATCGGAGTTTGTCAATATTCTCTATAAGTACAGAACGAGATATAAATACACATTACATGTTTCTTCCTCGTCACCTGCATAATGCCAGTATTTTTATTACTTGCAATGTTTCGATTTACAAAACAAAGTGAGACAAATTTTATCGAAACACGAATGAATTAATGTAACGAAAATTGAACTTCAAAGTGGCATAAAAGCAGTAGTAATAAAGACATACTACAATAACAGAAAACAGAACACATCACATGCATTTTGGTGAACTAAGTGGAAGTTTATGAATGACAACATTGATTTTGTGCATCACTTTACTTGAAAAACTATTTGTGGCTATTTCTTTTTAATAAATAAGAACTTTATGAAGTGAAGAACTTCGACTTTTTACATTATAAATTTACAAATCATAGATTCCATGGCCCACGTTAAAAAATAATTGTTCTTAATAAAAAGAGATCGTAATTTTGAAAGTTTAGATAGAATAAAACAATTCAATATGAACAATGTCACTCTTTACAGAAAAGAACACTTTACAAAATATATGGAACTCCTAAAGACTAAAACTTTGAGAATGAGCAGATGAAAATAGTAAAAATCGCTTTCAATACTAATAATTTGCATGGAAAACTAAATATGCCACTTCATTCAAGACAATTAATAAAATTAATGAAGACAAAAACAAAAACCACACACACCTAACCTTAATAATTTCCTGATAACTCAATTCAATATAACAGTAATATATAATCTTATAAATATGTTCATTTCAGACTTTTAATTCTTGCCTAATGCATCAAATGAGAGTAAAAAAGATTTTAATCAATCGTCCAACATAAATGATCAACTGCTCTTGATATTTAAGGAGAGCAGTAAGAAACTTTGGCATCTATCGCACTGACCATCTCACATCAAACTTCTCAGCCTCACTGTAAAAGACGAGCATTAATCGTAAAACAGATTAAAAAAAAGGATGTGATTTTTGAAGATACTCGTGCATTTGAGGAATACGAATGTAAATGAGATGCGTGAACGCAACTGCACAAAGTGTATCCCATAAAACTTCGTAATTTACACAAAAACTGGAGTTAATTAAGATGAGAAATACTAAATAAGCAATAAATCTCAACTAAAATTTATTACGAAATCAAATGAATAGAGGTAAATCGAAAACGAAAGCATACCATCCCTAGTATCTCGACATTACAAAAGCTAAATCAAATTCGTTTATTTTCTGGTGTTTAGCAGATTACATAAGATGAAACGCCATTGAATACTAAAATGCCATTACCTGGAAATAATTAATATTGATATTTCGATAACCAACTACCTTTAAGACAGTTACTGTAAAAAAAAACACAGAAGCTCAACTCACTATTTACTTTAAAAAAACGTATCTTTCAAATATGTCATTATTTTCTTTGCAATGAAACGGTATTATATATATTTAAAAAACGCTTTAGAACTTGTAGCAAACTTATTCATATACAACCAAAATTAATTTCTATCAACTTCATACAAAATTCTGTCGATTAAACGCATAATGCAATCCAGCATAGTCATGTAAATCATGTAATTCTACATATTAGCGACTATTTAAGTATATTAAAACATTAAAACATCTCATTCCGAGCATGTAAATGATTGCTTTATAATCAGATTACAATGGTATCTGGAACTATGCGCTCTTTTAAATTATAAAAACCATAGCAAAAATTTAATTTGAAATCAAACATGTCAAGAAAATTTACTTTACTTTCACGTGCATCTAGGATTACTAATTTTACTTATTTATAAAAAGCAATTTCCTTCTCACAACTAGAAACATATTCAGAACACAATCTGAATACATAAAAACATGATCACCAAAATTGTTTCTACAAAATTTTTTGCGAGTTCTTTGTTGTAATTTTGTACCAAATACAGAAATTGAACCACTTTAAACGCACAAAAAACAAATCATGAGTGATTTACTTTTTTTTGTGTGTCTAAGTCAATACGTGCATGATACAGACAAATATAAAAGTATAAAAATGAGTAGTAGCACTTACATTATTATATCGATAAACATCCTATGCAGAACAATCAAATGCTTTTAAAGTTTGAGCATACGTTGCAGCTAAATAGTCGTTAATACTATGAATTAAGATTTCTTTATTAAAGCCTCTTTAAAAACATTTATTTTATTGTGAACCAGATTTTTTTTAACGTTCAGTGACGTTGATCGGAATGCAGATATTCAAATATATGTTCATAAACTTACACATACATAAATTCACGCACATATAAACATACAGATTCGTGTACTCACGTGCATAAACAAGTATACACGAAGCGAGGTGCGTATGCAAGCATACACGAAGTGAGGTGCACACACCTACACATCAACTGACGGTCGCATTTTGTTTGCACGAAAAGTAAGTGCACTAAAACATCTCTTCAAATTGATGTGGTTTGAACTTTGTTCTACGATGTTGTTTTAGATGCTATATCTATTAGACTAGAGTCTTACTGAGTTACTTTCAATTAGATAGCCCAAAAAATCTTAGTGAAATAAATTTAACTTTGTTCGAAAACTTGAATCAAGTTTACTAAAATATTTCATGTTATTCATGTACATATCCATATAAATTTATCTGTGTTGATATCATGTGCCGTAAAAAGGTTGAAAGCAACAAAACATGCAAAAGTTTTGTGATATAATTTACCGTCACACTTTTGATCAAGAATTTCTTGTAGAAATCGATCATTACTGTAATCAAAAGTATAGCATTGTGATATAGCGCAATTTTTCAAATTATTTCAGTTATCAGTATTGTTTCCGTTAGCAATATAATTATTTTTGCTAGTATTACGGAGACCGTTTTTGCTCTTAATATTTTTATTATTTTATAGCAGGAGGAGATAATGGGGAAGTTAGTTTTTCTCTTTTTTTCAAATATTGGATTCTTCTTTCATTTTTTAAGCTTACGGTCTTAATTTGTGCAAAAGATGAATTCGGAAGATGAGGACCTAGATACATCAGCTTTTACTCCAATGTATCAGTATCAGTTTCGAGTTATTTTGATCGGGGATTCAACAGTGGGAAAATCAAGCTTACTAAAATACTTTACCGAAGGGAAATGCGCTGACATTTGTGATCCTACGGTTGGAGTCGATTTCTATGCTCGTATGGTAGAGATCCATCCAGAGTGTCGGATAAAGCTGCAGCTTTGGGATACCGCTGGACAAGAAAAGTTCAGGTAAAAATGATTTACTGTTTTACATATTGTATGTACACGGAAAAAAATCGTGATTAGTACTGAAATCTACTTTCAGTGCTGATCACGATTTTTTTTAAAATATACTAGTTATATATATCACTCAGTGACTATAAAAAAAAGATTTGTGTTATCTCATTTGTGGCATAAATCGTCATTTTTTTAATACGGAATAATTTGACACAAAGAAAAAAATGTTCCAGATCAATAACGCGTTCATATTATCGTAATTCAGTTGGTGCGATCATTGTTTATGATATAACGAATCGATCAACCTTCGAAAACGTTGCAGATTGGTTAGCAGAAGCAGAAAATAATGTCGGTGGTCCACAACCAAATAACTGTGTTTTTCAGTTGGTAGGACATAAAACTGATCTTGAAGCTCAGCGTGAAGTACGGTGTCATGTTATTAATATTATTTCATAAGTTATCAATTAATAAAATCGTAATTTTTTATCTACACAAGTATAATATACAATTTATATGTTTAGGTCAAGAAGATATACACAGGAAAAAGTGTCTGTAACAGCAATTTTGTTAATTTTAGTCATTCAGTAGTTTATGTTTTGTTTTACTTTAAGAGGGCCATAATAAAATAGTATTTGATGTTACTGGCAATGCCTTAAATTCTTGTATTTCTTCTAGAAATTATTTAAAATGAAGCTAAAGTCTTGTTCAGGTAATGCATGAAGAAGGCGAATATTTTGCTAAATATCACAAGATAAAATTCTTAGAAACATCTGCAGTTACGGGTGAAAATGTGCTGGTTAGTGTTGTATTTATTAACTTTCAAAAAGTGTTCTATTCATTATATCGTTCGAACATGAATGTGGGTACTTCTTTTTTTATGTCAAGTTCATTTATAGTTCAATTTTTAAGGAAACGTTTATGATGATTGCACGAGAAATCTATAGTCGGATTGAACGTGGGCAGTTACGCATAGCTGATGGCTGGGAAGGTATTCGTAGTGGAATAACACTTGATAGATCGATAATCTCTTCAGAAAGTTCGACTATGCAATCCTCAACATGTACTTGCTAGTTCCATAACTTTCATTTCACGAAAGGATTTTGTGGTAATCATGGCTTATCCATTTAAAGCAGTCACCAATAATTTCTTTTTGGAACTATTTCCTTTTACTTTCCTATTTAATTCCAAAGTGTACTATTGAAAATGGTTTAGTTTTAGCAAGCAGTATATTTGGTGTACCTGCTATTTTTTGGCTATGATCTCAAGTTCTTTTATTTAAAGATGGATGTAAAATGAAATACTTGAAAACAAGTCATGTATTATCGTCTTCAAAGTTCGTATCATTTTTATTGTGCTGCTTGCAGCTCGTCTTACCTTTCGCCAAACTGAATATTTTATAATAAAGCATGTTGCATTCGGATTCACCATGTTCTGTCATCACGAGTATGTTGATTAATAACGAGTGCTTTTACTTAAGTGCTCATTTTTCTTTGTCTTGTATTGCCTTAGACTACAAATATTTTGGCCAGCATTTTCTTACTCATTTTTCATATTTTTGTGCCTTAATAAAAATTAAGTCCGTTCTGCATGATTTATTTGGCACTGTCGTAATGTTAATTTGTGAAATAACTGTTTTAGTTAGCAAGCGTTTTTTTTTCAAATTTTTGCTGGTCTACAATCTGTTTCTCTATTCTTGGCACATTTGTTTTTGTATTTACTTTTGAGTATCACTTTGTATCTTTTCTAAACTTCATCAAGATGCTGCATGAATGAGTAAGGAATGTAATATCAGGGAATGATGCCGATGTTGGTATGCTGAGAAAAAAAAATGGATGGAATCGGATTTGATGATGATAAAGGAGCGTCTCATCTTCAACCACAAGATGAATTGTAAATTGTATCATTTCTTTGGAAAATATGTAAGATTATCTCATAGAAGAAGTATATATAGTGCACTTGTATGTTTATGCAAAAAGTTATATTACTAGGGTATTTCTGTTTTTTCATGAAGAATTTCTGAAATGAAAGTTACTGAGGATTATTTTCAGCTATTACAGATTTCAGTGTCATGAGAGCATAGTTTTGTAATATTTTTTTTAATGATTGCGGACGTGATGTACTTGAATTATTGTGCATTTGAATTATATGTGTTTTAATTAATAAATGAATAAAGCAGGAGGAGCACATGGCCACCTACTGAAGTAGTGTACTTTTCAGCTTTTGTCTCATGAATTTTACCATTTGTTGTAATAGCCATAAAGGGGACAGTTACAACTTGTGATCGGATTATTAAAATTCTAGAACTTATATGATTATATGGTACTGGTATACTGATATTCTTAGCTTATTGTGCATAAACACGTTCTGAAGTTAAAGTTAGTTCTTTAGATTTATAGTGTCTACACCGTACGTAGTATGCTAGCAACACAGGAAAAGTAACAAACTTATGGTGCAAGACACCAAGTTTCCTGCGAGCATTAACAAAGCAGAATAGGTTAGGGCCGAGGAAACATTGCTAAATTTTTCATTTTTTGCTCAATAAAATCAATGCTATGAATTGTGTGTTTAGACTGCGTGAACAATATTTCTGTTGAACAATTTATCAATTCGTTTTCGTATGCACGTCAAGATAAATTTTGTTACAGTTCTATAGAGGTAATCTTCGCATTTTAGTCACTAATTTGTCAAAAATAATATTTGAGACTCAAGAAAAAGAAAATGAAACCAAATGGTTGTGTAATCAACACGATCAATCCATAGCATTAGTCTTGAATTCTAGTCTGTTGGTCGAAAGGTTTATAAATTGTTGATTAGGGTTGGAAATGGTGGTCATTTCTTGACGCGATTTGCTGGTCAGTGTAATTAATTTGCATATTTTCATTTCTACGTATTAGGTTGTTAGCTTCTTTGATTGGTTACTGCAGTACTTTCAATTTTCAGTAAGTAATGTGTTCAGTATGATTTGATATGCATGTTATTCTGTAATCAAATTCAGTTTTTTCTTTGCAGATATTTATCAGTCGACTTTTTTGTCCTAATGTTTACTTTTCAATATTAAAGAATGACTTCCTGAAACTGTATTGAATGCTTCTAACATACAATCCATATTATGAGTACGTGTGGATAGCAGAAGCAGTCAATCAGTCAGTGGTAGATCAAGTTATTTTCTAGTTGATTAACTTTATAATCCAAATGTTGCTAAAAATTAAACACAAATAATGTTTGTGATAACAGATAAAGATAATGGTGATGTGCGTTTGTCAAAAATTATTTTAAATTATCGAAGTAATTTTATGAATTTTTTAGTTCGATCATTTAAAGTTGCAGTATTTTATAGTTTTCAGTTAGAAATGAAAAACTTAAATAACGTCTGGTACTAAAGATTGAACTTGCTAGTGAAAAAAATAAACTTTGAGTCGTTTGCAGGCAAGGAATATCCTTTCCTATTAGCCGTTAAATTAACCATTTTTGATATTATCTGAATGAGTGACCGTGCAATTTTTGAAACCTATGAAAATGTTTGCTATGAATTCAAAATGGTGCTACTTTGCTAAGTACTGTCTTTTTAAATAACACCTAGTACTAAATATGAATAAATAGGAATTAAGCACGAGCATATTATGGTTTGGGATAGAAGTTAGTCAACTAGAAAATAGTAGTATGAAATTATAATCATTTCTGATATTTGACTGTTATACATACTAAGAATTTGAAATGAGTAGTTTAAAATTGTGTTGCGTAATAAGATTACCTTTTCCTTATCTGATGGTATTCTTTATGTGTAAATTAAGTGTAGAAAAATAACTGTATATCACTGTATTTTACTTATTATAGCTGATCGCACAGTACTCTTACAGGTTGTTAAATTTCTTACGGCTCCTATGGTTGATTTGATGATAAATAATATTTCCTAGTGAATATCATATTTTCACATAAATTCAACAATTTTGATCTTATTCTTTTACTGCTCAATAGTTAATTCTACTGCCATTAATTAGTGATTAATCATTCAGATTTAATTCTACATTTCTATACCAGATTCCATTACCAACTTATTTACATGTTTCAGATTGTCAGCCTTCAGAAGTGCTATGTAAATTCAGTTCGATTCTCGGATCTTTTTTAAAATTTTTTATCTGCGTGTTAGTTCTACTCAAAACACTTATTTCTGTCTTATTTTCTGTTACAAAAATATGATATTTGCATACTAAATAATTGTTGTGAGGAAAGTTCACTCTCAAGTAAATCTAATTCGTATTTTCTAAATAATTAGTAGTAATAATTTGTTGGCAGTATCATTTTTGTTCATGCAGTGCTTATGTTATCTTTGGCCAATTATCCTACCACTTTTTAGCAACAACACACTGTTTGTGTGCAATATTCTGAAATTATAACCTTTTCTGATATTTTTGATGCATACTTTAATCAGTCATTTACTGAAAGAAACGCTTTTAAAAGTCGTTGAATTTCCACTTTTTGAATGCATGAAAAATATAGAATATTTTTCATTCATTTCTGTGAAATTCAATTTTTTACTTTTATTTATTGTCGAATTCGTTAATTTACTGTGTTGCGCAAATATAAAAATTAATCTAGTATTAAATAATATTTTAGCAGATGTTGACATCCATTTCATCGTAATCTTATAAAATAATACTTGGTACTATAAACTCCTAAAAACTATTAATCTAACTCTAGTAAATGTTCTGAGATAATCAATATTGTGTTTTCTATTGTTGCAGATTATGGAAGAATTATTTGAGCCTGAATCAATTCTTGATACAAAAATAACATCTGGCCGACGTTTTTACTTGGTGAAATGGAAAAATTTTCCAATGTTAGCAAATTCATTTTCAAAAATAGCTGAAATATTTGTAATGTACATATATATCTTCATCATATCGTGATAAATACTGTTTTTTAAAAATTTTTATTTGTGAAATTATGCAAACTTTCTGCATATTGAAAAAGGATACGTAATTTTAAATAAGCTTCTTAGTTATTAGTATCATGTCCTTAGCATCATTTACCAAGTGATGCAATGTCTTATTAATACTGTAAAGGAATGTTTCAGGAATAAATGCACTTGGGAACCTACACATCATCTTTTAAACTGTGATAATTTAATTGCTGAGTTCGAAAAATCAGTAACAACTTCAGTAAGTTCATTCTTCCAGTTTTAATCATTTTTCTCAGACATTAAATAGCAAATTAGTATGAATCTTGACATCCTTCAGTCCATTCAGTTATATATAACTACAATGAGTTATCTTTATTTTATCTGAAATTATGCTAGTAACATGACTGTTTATGCTGGTTAGTGAAGAAAAAAATTCCACATTTTTCAGTCAGAAGATTACATATCAAAGATGTCATACAAAAAAAGAAAACTTCGTAAACGATCTTTAAATTTGGTAATTATTATAATACGCTTTAATATCTTCATTTATATTCTTACGATTAACTGAATTATAAATCAGTCAGACGTTTATAACAAAAATAAAAATAATCACATCTGATGTGACTAGTAAACAAAGTTAATGATAAATTTTCAGTCAGAAGAACAAAAATTAAAGAAGCAATGTAGGAAGAGGAAAGTTCGAGGGCAATCTATGGTTTTGGTTAGTTTCTGACAATTTTTAAATGTTTTTTCACTTCTCATTTGATTTGTTGAAAAAAACAATTGAAATTGAATGCTACAAATAATTAAATCATTTATTGATATGAATGACTGTTAACTTCCTGCATACTATGAATGACTATTAGTTATACCATAATCTCAGGATATTTTTATAGAGACTATCATTGTGATTCATTGAATTTTTCTTGTAAATTTACACTTCTGTTTTGATTCCATTTAAATTCTGAATTCTGTAAGAAACTCATTTTTCAATGCAGTCTACGCTACTAATTTTAAATAATAATCTGTAATTTAGCAAAATATATTTCACAGAATCCAGACGCTGAAGGCGTTTATAATGAGACGATTTGCGGGAATCTCCCTAATGAAAAATTAACTATTGCTCGAGATCGTTATGCAAATAAGTATTCAAATGTTGTTTCCTTGCTTTGCAGAGAACAGAATTCGAAAACAGTGCAGTTTAGAGCCAAACTGTCAGTTTTCTTAGTTTTGTAAACACTAATTGTAAATACCACTTGAAGTTTTTTCTCATATAAACTTTTTTATAACGTATGCATACATATAGAAGAAAAAACCGCCTTTACTTACGTTTCACAAACTTTTGAAAATTAAAAATGAGTATAAACTCGGACTTCCGCATCACAATTGAATGAGTTCGATAGTAATATTTGATTGATAAGTTTCAACATATAATTTACACGCAGTAGAACTTCAGATCATTTTTAGTATAATTTTAGTTGTTTGTAGTGATCTTCGGATGTTTTACCATGCAGAATTTGATTTCGTTTCCTTGTCTGTTACAGGAATGATGGCAGTTTTGCATGGATCAGTAATGAAGATGCACATTCATATCTCAAAGATCAGTTGATCTCATTCTATGAGCAAGTTCTGAAATTTCAGACTTCTTGATGACCTTTATCGACTATATTTCATCAGAAAGAGAATTTGGTGTTGAGCCTAAGTACGTAATTCTGTTTTAGAATGCTTTTTTATGCTTAATATATATAGAGTGAACAAATTTCGATATTTTGATTTTTAGAAAATTAACGTTTTTATACACAGCATACATTGATTCTATTTTTCGCGAAGAGAATGATCCCAAAAGATAATCCTTCCTCAGTCTCTTATGCTTTACTATATTTCAGTTTTATTCAGGGATATCATTCACTAAGTATTATTACCCACTGGATTATATACCTTTTGCATGGATTATATTATTTCATTTATTTTGTCAGGTGTGTAAAATGGGGACATACATTCCTCATCTCAGTGTTTGTTGAAAATTGCATTGCAATCAGCATGTTTTCTTTTTTAACATATATAGTAAAAGATATGATAACCACAGGTGCTGTTTCGTCATATTAACTTATAATGCCAGCGTAAAGAAAACCAACGCTTCTTTTGGTTTTCTTTACGCTTATTTATCATACAGATGTAGAAGTTGTTGATCTACATTTTTCTCGTTACGACTTTCATGTTTCTGTTTCTATAGTTAATGAAAAGTGGGCATTTAAAACGAATTAACCAAGAATGTTAAATGAAGTCTGAACATACACGATTTATAAGCCTTTCAAACAGTGAATGGAATTACTCAAATATCATAGTACTGTTTCTTGCTTCACACAGATTTTCATCATGATCTCAAATCTGAGACAATAATCTTATACTCCAAGCAACTTAAATGACATTACACCAGATTTCATACCGATGAATTAGTTTCATGATATTTTTGTACCAATGAATTCTATGCAACTGCAGAATAAAAGTTTCATCGTAAAAAGAACTGACCGCATATTACTGAAACTTCTTCGCTAGAATAAACTTGCCCATGGTGGTACAATTGGCAATGGATTTTGGAGATAACTCATTACAACAGCAGAAATTGAGAGCCTAGAAATAAGGGTTTGTGAGACTCGTAAATAGATGAATGGAAGTCAAGCTTTGAACATGGTCGAGAGGTAGATAACATGGATTAGAAGTGGTAAAGCTGTGTTGCTACACCATTTACGCAAAAAAGCAAAACAGGTTTGTAATGTTATTTGATCTATTTTCATGTAAATGAGCTACATTTCTGGTCAAGGGAGTCTGCGAACTGCAAATCAGGAAAGTACTTACATGAAACTGCTGACAATTTGTTTTGTATCATCATTCGTTCGCGTGTTTGCAAAACTGACACAAGAACAAAGAAGCGCAACCCACGCACACCACTTCATCTTCAAAAGTGCACTAATACTAATGAAGCAGTCAAATGCTTCTAATGCGATAAAATAAGGTATGGCAATAAGCGAAAGTCTAGTTTTCGGTATGAAATAATATTTCTAGGCTCAATAACAAACACGTGAAAATTTTCTCTGACCTTTACCATCATTCAATATAATAAAGGAGTTTAGTCTTCTGACGAAATTTAACACTCTACAATCACCAACATCAAGACTACAATTTTTCATTTAGCTTTTTTACTATATAACAATATACAATAAAAATGATTCATAGAAGAACATACTCTCATCATCAATCCACACATACTGAAAACCATTCCGAGTACATTCATGTAATCTGGCAGCGGATCATCTGTAAGAGCAAGTGAAGAATGTGGATCTACTGGTTTGTACCTAAAAATACGGAAATAAGATACATCGCAGTCAGTCCCATAACAAACAACTAAAACTTATTTATTAAAAGTAGCGCTCAAGGTAATTGTGATCAAGAAATCAGTTGTGGATTCCTAAGACTACATCAATGTCACTGTCCAAGTTTTACTTCACTCCGAAAGTTACCGTACAAAGTTTAATTAGAAGCTTACCTTACTACTCTATTTGGCCTCTTCACATCACCGTTCTGCATGATTCTTTTCACTATAAATGGGACATACTGAATTTAACGAGAACAAACCCACACTTACGTAACTTAGTCTACATGCAAGAGATGGAAAATAATAGCTTGTAAATCCTAACCACTTAAAATAACACGAACAAATTACATGCCACTCGTCCTTGTAAAACATTAATGTCGTAAGCGATATGTCGAACTGCCATAAAACACGGTTGTTTGTAAATTAACAATAACTTTTTTATTTTTAGGACAATATTTATTCGATTCGATGACTAATTCATTTGCGGTATCCATAACGAAGTTCAAGACACGTATAACTGAACCATTTGAGGACATTACCAGACTTCAATTCATGACAATATGCCGAGAAAAGAATAATTTCCTGACTTGATCATAAGACTGTTTCAAAAAATTTACAGTGATCAAAATTATAATATCGAGTTACAATAAAACGTAACTCATGACCTATATTCTAATGCTCCATATATTTCGGTACATTCTTAAATACAATTCAGGTAAAACTAAGCAAACAGTACCCAACAAAATCCATATATTTCTAGGACTAAATCAAACTAAAGTGTGATTTAATGCTAAAAATGTTTATTAGCATCAGTAATGATTAAAGAGATGCCGCAGAGACAGAATCCACTAGGATTACTTTTTCGGAAAGTACTTTTTTGCTTTTGTTCACTGTGTCTTCAAAAGTATCAACAGAAGTTTTCGAGAGGAATTCCTCTTGAATATGCCTTTTCAGGGATCGTTCGTTTATTACAGTCATTTCTTTCGAGAAAACGGCACGTAGAACAGGAATCAATTTTGCAGAAATTTCCAGATCACTTGGTGTTACGATCATATTGTCCATAGCAATTGTAACATTTCCGGCTTGTTCAATGTAATCCGGCAATGGAGGCACCTAAAATCAAGAGAAAAAATGCTTGAATTTTGAGCAAAAAAATATAAAATCTAGTGGAATATCAAGCAAATATCACTTGGTTATTCCTTGCTAGTTTCATATCATTTTCGCCACTCACAAAAAAACCTTGAGTGTTTACTTGAGTGCATTTTACAACTACAGCAAAAATTTAAAAAAGAAGAGTTGAAAGCGACAAAATTTTATAGTAAGGAATATCAAAACACGAACCTTAGGATATTTTGCACTAAAATGTGTCAAGATAAGATTTCTTGCACCCATCCTCGTTGCAATGTTATAGGCCTGCTTCATAGTGCTATGTCTTTTATATAATGCGTGAGCCTACATACATCCAAAGTTCAAATTGCAAAATTTATAGGAAAAGTAGACGTGAAAATAAAATAAAGCTGAAACTGAATGAATCCTTTGATTGAACTCTAATACTTTATTTAATTATTATAGCTCTTCCACCTCTTAATCTCGCCATAAAAAATAGAGAAACCTCTTCATCGTCTGCAAACGTTGACTCATGCACAAGAACTAATGCATCTTGACCATATTTCACAAGATTATCGCAAGGCATCGTATCACCAGAGAAAACAAATTTTCGATTTTGGAGATCAGTAAATATATAACCGACGGGATTTTTTGAATGATTCACCTTTCAAATAGACAGTGAAATTTTTAACATTATAAAAAATTTAAACAAACAAATAATTACCCGAAAATATCAGAAAAAGAAAGTATAGCAAGAAAGAAAAAAACCTTAACAGCAATGACACTTTTTAATCCACAATGCTCCACACTTGTGATTTGTGAATTTAATTCCTGTGTTAAATCTACCGCTTCCACTGGATTATCTTGCTTCTGAGACTGTCTAAAACACAATTATATATTAAAATATTATCGTACGATCATAACATTCTTTTCGAAACTGATTTTTTAGAAATTTGAAACTGCAAACAAAGATAAACTTTGAAAAACGTTTAGTGAAAAAAATTAAAGTCACAGAACTTCATTCATCGTTTACATGAGTGTAAAAATTGATGTTAATAAAACGAACTCCCATATCAACTTTGAAATATTGACAATATGCATGTCTCGTGCGTAATTCCCAAATGTATGACTAATTTCACGAAATATTTTTAGGACATAACTACCAGCAACAACAACTAATGGTATGTAATCCATACCTGAAATTCGATAGGATTATTGGAAAAAAAACCAAAACGAAACAAAACCTCATAACCATACAAACCACACTTCAACACTTTAAAAATTTTAGTATAACATGTACCTTTCTTTTTAAACAGTAACTTCCGAGACTCCATAATTGTGAACAATCCCTGAAAATGATCCTGATGGCCATGGGTAATGAACACCACGCTTAATTTTAGCAAGAGTTCTTCACAAACTCTATCACCAAATAAGATGCGTAGTTGACCTACAAAAAATATTTTCGCAAAAACTAGATCACTACGTGATTCAAGGAACTTCATCTTACCTTAATGGTTTCCAACACTATTTGAGTCATCCTTGACAGTAATAACTAAAATGTAGAAACAGACCCACTACAGCCTAATAAAAATTATTATTATATGCTTTGAGTTAAACCGATTTTTTCCACACAATTTTATTGAAAGCATACAAATTTTAAAAGACTCTTAAAAAACCATGGCCTTCACAACACAACACAATATGCACATTCACGCTAAAATAAACTCATATGAGCTGCAATAAATATTCTAGAATTCAAAACTATAACAACGAAAGCTTACCATATGACCCTTCTCCACAATCAACCATTATAGATGAATCGTCACTAAATTGAAGAAAATAAGCGCTAACGTTTCGAAAACTGGTGGGCACAGCAGATGATGTACCCAGAAAACAAATACGAGGTAAAGTATCAACTTCCCGTACCATATTTGATTCTGTAAAACTCAATGAAGGAAGTCATGTTTGTTTCAAGGATAGTAAAATTCTTGAACGAAATTTCTTGGAAAAATACAAGATAAAACTTTACAATAATTTTATATTTTGAATAGGATATTATATATACAAAGACACACAGATCGCATTAGTTATCAACAAAGTGTAATAAAAAAGTTGATGAAAAAAATACGCTTCATTATTTCTTATTCTATTTATGCCTACTACTGAAATATAGATTTTGGAAAGTTGTTTAAAGACAAATGTTTGCTTACGGTGAACGAAAAGATTGATTGCTTCAGAGATTTGTGAATCTTCTTTGAGTCTAAGAAGTGAATCAGTTAGATTCAAAGATATATGAGGTGGCACCGGATCTAAAGTAGAAGGCTTTCGTAAATAAAAACGCTGAAATGGTCTAGCATACAGATAGTTGTTTTTCCTTTCACACTCATCATCCTGAAAACATACACAAAAAGTATACGATGAGAATCTACAGACCACGAGAGACGACAAATCTTGGAAAAATTTTCAAATTATCGGGTAAAACAATTAAGACAATGAAACAAGTCAACAACTTTTCAAATAGCAAGCTTGTCAGAATTTTTTTTTTTGATAAACATAACTAGTTATATCATTCTAAATGTATGTCGAATCCAGACTTCTACACTAACTTTACCTGCATAACAGTTCCATTGAACCCTTGCGGATGTATCAAGGGAAACAATTTCGGAGATACATAGTTTAATATAGCATTAATGCGATAAATAGAATCCATATGAGGCAGACATGGGCCACTACCATTAACAATTATATGTTCAACAGTTTCACCAAATGACGCCATCCATTCTTTGTATTCATCGGTAAGCAGCACTGGATCTTCCGTAAAATGAACAATATATCGCATGATTTTCTGTCCATCGATATAATCCTACAAAAATAAAAAAGCTAAATCATAAAAAGACGCTTGCAGACGAACAACAATAATACGAGAAACAAGGCAAGAGAAATTTGTTGCAGATTAAATAACTAATTTGCCACGTAACAAGATGCATATTTGCTCCTACATATGCCGTAAATATTTTTTACACGAACAAACATGAAACACACCTGAAGCAAAGTGCTATTACGTAATGACGGTAGTTTATCCACCTCACTGCATTCAACAACAAGACATGCATGCTGAGGCTCAATTTTTTTTTCACTGAGCACATCTTCTGCCTAAAATCGACCATAATCTTAGACATAAACTCTCATAGTTCATCAGTATTAAAATTCAATTTCAAATTAATAACAAGATTCAAATTTTTTGAAGAACTAATCAATGCTTGCAACTATATTTGTTCAATTACTGATATAAGAAACCTAGATATGACATTCTCATTAAGCAGATGGAAACTTAACACTTTATAATATGAAATATGACATGAGAACACTAGACCTATGACTTTTATGCAATAGTATCAATCAACTTGCAGAATTAGTAGAATGCTACCTCTTAGCTGTCAAATAAAGTAGTTGATAACATTTGTCACACAAACAGAAATTAAAAATTTAATAATTCTGACCATGATGAAACGCCCATCCGACAACGTTATATTTATTCCATCTTTCAACTGCTTCATATGAGGACCACCAGGTATTTTCAGTTTTTTGATTTTTTCAATATCCAGTGATCTTAGTGGTGGCTTGAGCTCTACTAAGAAAGCTATGTCCAACTTAAAAAAATTAAAAATATTTTGATGGATAATTTCAATGATTTATCTTCCAGATTTACAGTGTTTAACAATTATATCCTTTAGATTCCTGCGATTAAAATTTCGTTTAAACCTTTTCTTGCAGTGATCGCTCAGGTGTAGAAAATGTCGACACAGGTAAAAAGTGTATTGTCAGAGCATCATCGGAATAAAGCCCAGAACTCAGTGGATACTCTTCCACATGAAATTAGAAATAACTTATTCAATTAAAAAAAATCTTTGATAATGAAAAACAATATCATTTAATTTTTCAAAAAGGATTCTTTTTCAATACGTTTTTCGAACTATGACATATATAAAATACATGTAGAGTGAAGTTCTCCCAGATTTTTGCATTTGAGACCAGTAACAAACTGTGAAATGAATGTTTTACAGCAACTATGACTGGTTTCTTGAAAATTCTTTGCTCACGAAAAAAGTTACTTTAGCTGCGACAGTTAAAGGAACATCTGCATCAGCATGTTCATTTTGGCATTCTAAGTATTTTGCTTTGTTGTGAGATCCATGTAATCTGATGACGCGATTCGTTTTGAGTGGAACTGATATCGGAGTTTTAAGCAGCCCAGGTACTCCAGCAAAGTGATTCCAGGTATCTAAAAGACTGATAGAAACACAGTTCCACCTTTAGTTTTATTAAAAGTCAACAGGTATGCTTTTTTAATTGATAACTCCATTCCAAAACAAAGTGGCATTAACCGAAACTGATGAATGAAAAGATTGCGCTACCTCTTGTAAAAAACAAATCTGCAAGGTTGCTAGGTTTCAAGCGATTTGCTGCTAAAAATCGTGATGTACCTTCCGGGCAATTGAACAAATAGTCTTTATAATTTGTGTGAATAGCAATGCATGGTTTTAGATGAGTTGTACCATTGCTGATGATCTGAAGCACAAAAAATAAGTGTGGTGCCACCAATGGAATTGATAAATATAACTTTCCCATAGCACAAACTTTTCTATTCGAAGTAATTTCTATTAAAAATTAATCAAAAAGGTAAACACACGTCAATTGATATGCTGCAAGGAATTAATGGTTGTGATATTGCCCGCTTCATTTCCTGAATATCAAACAGTTCTTTGGCCAAAATCTGCAGAGAATATGAAGCTTTCTTACCAAGATAAGTGTTGCGACTATTTCTGAAATACTATAACTCCACACAAACAATAATTAATTAACAAACTCTAATTATACTGTTAACTATGAAAACATTTTCAACAGCAATACAATTACCTTGCAAGGTATTTTTTATATTCACTGATTTGCTGATTCAAAGCTTGAATTACTTCTTCTGCGCTTGGCTCCTTTTTAACTGCAATTAAAAGCATGAATACTTTGATTTGGGAGGTCGAAAGAAGTATCTAGGTAAAGATACTTGCTTCGGCCTCTTAAACCCTTACTTTACAACAGAAATATTTGGCAAAAGAAACACCTCAATATTAAATGACATACTGTGGTCTTATGATGCACAAAAGTAAAGTATATGTGATTGAGAAAAATGAGCAAGTTAAAGCAAGAATGTAACCTGAAAACCACTTCTTTGGAAGTGTGCGAATAATTTTGAGAAGAGAATTTGGCTGATGGTAGGAAGAGATTATCCTTATAGCGAACATTCATTAACGAACTGGTTCTTGAGCTCGAAAGTTCAATTCACTGTTGTGGAAGTGTGTATTTGCTTTACATGCTTAACAATTAAATCGGTGTGTATGACTATTTTAAAATAGCAGCGTAATAATGATTAGCGAATTTCTCATCAAGATTTATAACTGTTGATTGATACAAATTAATGAACGTGAGAAAAATTTCAATGTATTTATGTAATGTTAACTATTTCATGCTACACTTTCCTGATTACGTCATTAGGTATAAACGAAATTTCCCAAACTTTCTCATAAAATCTATAGTATACTTTACTCTTCACTATTATTACCTCATAACTTCTGTAGTACAGACTTAAGCACCAATAAAAATGTGGAAGACTTGACAATTTTAAGAGTCACTACTTCATGCAGAGCAAATGACGGACATCTGTTAAAAATTGTTTAAATACTATGCAAATATATTTTCTCAGCTGCGTAACGTTGTCATGAGAAGATGTTAAATTACGTTGAAAGTGTGCAATAGTGAAAAACATACAAAATCCGTTTGAGTTCTATGCAAATTAGTAATATAGAAAACTAATATTTCTGAAATTTCCATTTAGTTTCTAGTGTATGGTTCCCATGCTGTCTATTGCTGTGATACATGTATGACTTATTCTGATTAAAGCTGTTGATTACTTGTTCATCACCAACTGAGGACTCCCTACTCGCATATGCAAATTTATCATTGCATAATTTTTGTGAGTACACCACTGCTTTGGAATTTTTTATTAATTTTAAGAAAGGCTGGTTACATAAAATAGAGTTAGTATTGTAAAGCAAAGTCAGTAGCACCAAAGAGGTCAGTAGCACCAAAGAGGTCAGTAGCACCAAAGAAGTCAGTAGTATGATACAATTCAATTCTATCAAATATTTTCACATTTTTGCACCTTTTCCAGTCCAGTTGTCATTTAGCTTTTGGTTCAGCACTGGAACGCCTTTCGTGCTTTGCTTTTTCCCGTGTTGAACCTCCAGCAGAACGACCTGGCAAGCTACTTCTGTACTGACTCACAACACCTGCGCGTTGCTCGTCATTTGCTGAGCTCAGGTTTCCTTTCTCCCAGTCATAGGGATATTCCTAAAAAAAATTTAACTACACACCAAATCAAGTATATTATTTATTGAAAAATTTTGTTACCATTCCTAATTTTTTTGAAATTTTGAAAAAAGTAGAAACCTCGCAAAAATGTCTTACAACAAAAAATATAAAAATTTAATGTGTTAAATAGAAATTGCAATACTTGGCTTCTGGTATCATGAATGGCGTTCCGCATCAGTGTATAGATTCTGTTATAGTCCGGCATTTCAAAAAACTTGGTCTTGTCGCAAATTTGTAATATTTCTATATATTTCCTCGGACAGCCACCAAATAGTTTTTTTACTCCTTTGTCTCTTCTGCATTGTTTTTTCGATATACCGATGGCGTTGATTTCCGTCATGTTCCTCCATGGAAGTTTTCCATTCGTTAGTTCCACAACCATGTATAGCCAGGATTCCACGTCATCTTTGCGACATAATTCACGTAAAATATGAGCCGATAAAGGAGCATATTTTACAGTGCCACGGAATCCAGTCAATGCACGAGGATTACGCATTGTGCCATCTGCATGGATATACAACCGAGCCATACCGAAATCGAGAACATACACCTAAACACAATTTTTGTTTGGTGATATGTAAGGTTAAGAATCTGGATAAATTCAGTGTATATATATATTTGCTTAATATCATCTGAAAGCTGTAACAGCAAATGACGTTTGTTTTAACGTTTTCGAAGCTTAAATTTGAAAGAATCAAAAAGTTCCGAAATATTTGAAATGAAAATTATGAGCACATTGCGTAGTTCATTCGCTTCCGGTCTTCCGATGGCAAAATTGCCTGGCTTGACATCCCGATGCAGATAACCAATGTTATGCAAATCCTCCAGTGCTTCCAGGCATTTGATACCGACGCTAATGGCTGTGCCGAGGGAGAATTTCTTACTTTGCGTCTCAAGCCGAAGTTCCTATAAATCTCTTCATAATTTCTGTATTAAGTATATATTCCATAAATCATTCGGATAGCTACTATCTTCAAGTCTCAAGTTTATTAAACAGTTAGATATAGTAAATAGCAAGATCTTGGCTCACAGTTACCTGCAAGGATTTGCCAACCATAGTCATTACAATATAAAAGAAATCATTATGTCGTCCTTTATCTTCAATGGTGCAAAAATGCCTCAATCGATCTTGTTCTTTCAAAGTATTCAGTACTGTTAGTTCCATTTTTAAAAATCCAACCTTCTCATGAACACTTTCCACCTATAGTATTATATTTTGTTATTATTATCTGCATATGACAAACGTAACCCATGTATCTGTGTACAATAAGCTTTGCTTGTTTTAAATTTAACAAGCGAAGTGTGTTTTTGAAATGTGTTCTTCATATGGTACCTTAAGAGCATATTTTTTTCCATCCTTGGAGCAAACGTATACAGCACCAAAAGCACCTTCTCCAAGTTTCCCCTCAATTTTCCAACTCTCGACCATGCACCCCTTCTCAAGTTGTACAATTTCGCCCATATCATATTATATAATACGCTTTGTGCTATGTGGGAAGTCGGAGTAATTAGCACCCAGTTATATCGAATAGGATTAGAAGCACACGTTGTTGCGGAGCAGTGAATAGAAAGTAGAAAATGACTATGTGAACGGTTTCGATAGCATTTTATAGCATTTTCAGATTATCAAGTATAACCACTTAACAATCTTAAGTATGCAAATAATCTCTCTTACCCTTAAAGAAATTTGAATATAAAATGAAAAATTATATCACGTGCTGACAAATTATTGCAACGTTCTTAACAAAATTAGACTAATATAACTTAGATAATTTATGCAAAGTATTACTTAATTCTGAACATATTTGAGTTTCAACTAACAAAAATAGCTTTTCAAGTCAGGATATTTTTGTAGGTGAATGCAATCATTAATAATATTCAAATCTTTTGAAAAGTTTCATTTTCAAATTTTGTTTTCATTAGAAGAAATAAAAGGAGATGTGCATATCTAAAATAAAGCAATACTATCAGTTGTAATTGCAAATTTTTTTTACACAAAATATTTTTGAGTAAAATTTTTAATCTCACAATCTCAAGCTATTTTTCAGTGTACAAAATTAAGTAATACTTTGTTTTTCTTATTACGAAAATTAAAAAATAAAGCTTGTTTGACTTGTCAAATATTTAGTATTTCAGTTGCAATAATTGAGGTGATTAACAGTTGCCTGTTTGTTTTTAAGAAGTTCTGTTTTCAATTATTATTTTTTAAACTAAAATAGCAAAATTTCACTACTGTTAAGCGTTATCAAAAAAATGCTACATCGGTCACAGACTTTAATTCTTTCAAATGATTATGATTTTTTGTAAAATAATTTTAGATATAAGTTGAAATGTACATTTTTGAGAGTTTTTCATACTCATAATATAAATACTTGAAAAATGAATCAAAAATTGCACAAGTTCTCATTACTTTGGTTTACTGCTTCTTTTGCTTGTCCATTAAATTGGAAAAACTTTCTATTTCACAACTGATCACTATTGAAGTTTTAATTGTAAATTTAAAATAAATATATGATGACTGTGTAGTATGTCCCCATTTCAAGATTGGACAGAGAGATGGATAGGTATTTGCAAATTTGTCATCCGTTATGCATCCTTGATTCAGAATATCCGAACTGCATCGTTTACACATTTCATTAATTAGTAGTATTGTTATTATTCAAACTTGCCTTTAACATGGTGAAAGTAAGCATCATTCAAAATTGAACTTATGAATCACTAATACTATTTCAAATATTGTAATTCAAAAATATCAGAAAATATTTGTAACAATATAATAATCAATTGAAATTTTTTTATCTTCTTAGAAGCAGTCATTATTAATACGGAATAGCAATTTCAAATATATGGTGATTTTCATTATAAAAGAAATATCTGATTCGTTTTTACTCTAAGTGTTTTATATTGCAGTTTTTAATTCCTTTTATGTTTGAAGTATTTATTTTATTTGACAAAATTAGTAATTGCTTGTATTTAGTGTATAATTTATGAATTATTACTAGAGAAAAAATTTAAAAAATTGAATAATACTGATTATATTAGTCTCAAAATAATGTGTAAGTGGTATTTGATGTGAATCTCTTGAATAAATTCTGTATGCAGTCAAATGAAATGTGAGCAATATTAATTTTAATTTGGAATATTTAAAGACATTAAATACTGAAAATAAAAAGCTTTCAAAAAACAACTCACCAAAAAGGATCTTCGCATGGCTTTTTAATTTTTCAATATCATTTTTAAATGCAAAAAAACAAAAAAATAATTGACGAAAGTATTCAAGAAATCAGGCAAAATTACCATCACTTATATTATCTCAAATTTGACAGTGACAAAATTTCATTCGACTGAAAGATGTAATATACATATCTTTTACTTACATATTAAGTCTTGAATTTGTGTCTGCTCATCAGTTACAATTAAATATTTATGTAATGAATTTGGTATTTCAGAAAGCTATTCATAAAAGGAAGAATTTGAATGTAATCTTAAGCATCCAATTTCGTTTTTCAAAACTATTTTTAATATTTTCACCCGAGATGTATCCGGAGTAACCGGTTTTTAAGCAATGAAATTCAGCTCTTCGACAGCAACAAGGTCATAAACGGATTTTTATGAGATCAAATGTTTGCATGGAAACGAAAATGAATGGATGTGGCATTTTGAAATGTTTTAAGGTAAATCCATCCATCATTAACAGCGTACAAAAATAGATTTTTATTGTATATATATATAAAGGAAATTTGTATCTGCAAAGTTTTCTGCTTGGCTGAAATAAATTATCAAGAATATTAAGTGTGTGTGAGTATATATTTTTTTTACAAATATCATTATATTTAAGCATATATATATATA